AGAAAACGGTCAGGATAAAAATAAATAGACCTTATTCTCATTGGAAAAAAACTAAGAGAAAAAGAAATAAGCTTAAGTGGGATTGTTTGCACAAAGAAGCAGTCAAGTCAAGGTTGAGCAGAACTATGTTATTAATGCCAGAATAAAGTCAGTCACTGCAGCCAGAGAAATGATCTCACCTCTAGAACATGGTCCCTGTGAAAGCCAATGAGATACTGTCTAGGCTTAGGCTGCAGAGATGCAACATTGGAGCTGGACACACTGTATATAGAGAAACAGCTGGAATAAATCATGCTGTGAGGAATCAGAAGCATGGTTCAGAAGCCAGAGGTTGAGATTTTCAACATGTACCGTGGAGATAATTGTTAGAAAAGGAAACACCCACCTGTCATTCGGTGGGCAAGCTACATAAGTTCATGGGTGGTGGGCTGCATGATTTGGTGCAGTTTCCTGACAGGTTTTCTGAGTGACAGATTCTAAGTTACAAAGGGAAATAAAATTGGGCAGGTCTTCCATGCCCCTCAGAGCATCAGTCAATGAAACTCTTTTGTATAGAAAGAATAACACACAAAAAAGAGACAATTACAAAATTGTCATGTGGGGGATTCAGACCATGGAATGATGGAAGAAACTGAACTTCTGTCATAGGAATTTCTCTCATCTACAAAGACACACTAACTGAATGTACGTGAATAGGTGAGACTAGCAGCACTCTCCTGAACATGTGAAGACTGACAGAAAAAGTGATTGAAGAACTGCATCATCTTAACTAGAAATAAATGCTCAATAACGACATAACAACTTCTATTTCATTTTCTTTCCAATTTTTATTTGTTTTTATTTTTACTTTTCATCTTTTTAATCTTTGTGTGTGTCTACATGTGCATGATGTGTGTGTATGTGAGTGTATTCATGCACATTCCTGTGTGTGAATGCAGGTGCATGTGTGCCACAGCATGCATGTGGAGGTCAGAGGACAGCCTCCTATATTGCTCCTTGCCTTTCACCTTCCTTGAGAAACTGTCTCTTGTTTGTCATTAGGAGTTCAGAGATTAAGGATGCATGTGTTTCAAGATCCCAATTTTACATGGGTTTTAGGGTTCAAATTCAGATCCTCATACTTATACAAAAAGCTATTTACCCACTGATTCATCTCCACAGCTCATTTTAATTACTTTTTACATTTTTATAATTTTAATTGTTCAGTTGAGCTTATATTTGGCTCATATTTTCCTGGTTAGACATCTGTAATATTTTTCTGCTAGAAATCTTCAACTTTTTTTCTCTGCTATTTCTTATATTTCTAACATATATTTTGTTTCTCTTTCCTGTTTTCCCAAGACCCCCACACTTTATTACCGGAATATTAATGCTCTTAGCTATAAAGTTATAAATTGCATTCCTTCCCATCAGTACATTTTTTACAGCTATTTCTGATCCAACCTTGTGGAGGATACAGGTGAAGTAAGCAAGTGTCTTCCATTACAAATCAACACCAAGACCACTGCTAAACCATTCTGTTATCAATCTACTTCATCCCTATCCAACAATGGAGAGCATAAATACAAGTTAGACAACTCATCAGGAAGGCTCAGATAAAATACAACAAAAAAAAATGGAAAAGTGGAAAAATAGCAACTGGAGGCCAAATAAATTCCAGTAGATGTGGAAACCAGAGATAAAGCAAAAAAAAAAAGTAGAGAGCAACAATCCCTAGGGTGCCTCCATTAGCTCAGAACTCAACACTGGGGAACAATACTGAGATAGCCGAAACGCCAGAAAAAGATCCCAGAATCCTATTTTCAAAAAGAAGAAATGATCAAAACTAGGGCTCAGACAATGACGTAATTAAAACAAAATTTAGGACCAGGACAAGAGAGTTACCAAAGTGGAAGAAACATACAATTGTCCCAACAGTGAACCCCAAGAACCCCAAGCACAATTCATCTGGCCCATAATCTGATAAATTGATGTAACAGCAAAAATTATCCAAACACTCTCTAAACAAAGATAAGGCCAAGTATCGTTACTAAAGTACACCAACTATGACCTAACTGTAGATGCCTAATTCCCATGGAAAGACCACAAGCAAAATGAATAAGACTATATGTCTCCTCCAATAGTTAGTTCAGAGTTCCCTGAGAAAAACAACTTAGTTGATACATAAGACAATGATTTCAAAATAACAACTATAAACATGTTCAAGTAACTCAAATAGGACATGTTAATTACAAAATGAAAACCATGAAAACACAAAGAAGTGAATGAAACAAAACAATTCAAGCAATGAGAATAGAATTTTAAAAATTAAGAAAGACAAAAGACAAGAAATTAAGAAAAGTCAAGCTGAAATAAAACATGAAATGAAAAACTCAGTCAATGAAATGAAAAACTCATTGGTGGGAAGCCTTACCAATGGAAACCATCAAATAGAAAAGAGAATATCAAGATCTAAAAAATACAGTAGAGTAACTAGATCATTTAGCCAAAGAAAATGTTGAACTTAAAAAGGAATATGATGTAAAAAAAACTCTAGAACACTATTAAAAACAAACAAAACAAGCACCACCACAACAAAAAAAAATCCTTCAAATCATATGTATAAGACAAGTAACCCAGGTCAAATGCAAAGAAAATATTTTCAGCAAAACCAGGAAAGAAAAATTCCTAAATCTAAGGAAATAGAAGTCTATCAAGATTCAAGAGAATACAGAAAAACAAATAGAAAAGAGAAAAAAATAAATTTTAAAAACTCCCGACACCATAACAATGAAAACACTAAAGGTAGAGAGCAAACAAAATTGAAAGCTGCAAAAGAGAAATGAAAATTGCACATAAAAGCAGTCCCACCTGAAGGACACTTGACTTTTTAATGGAGACTTTGACAGCCAGGAGGGTCTGGCTGATGTTCTACAAGTTCTTAAAACCACCCATACCTGTCTAAGCTATTATACCAGCAAAATTTAATCATAATTGAAAAAGAAAGATAAACATTCCATGCTAAAACCACATTAAAGGAATTTACATTCACAAAACCAGCTCTACAGAGGATACTAGAAGGAATAATTTGGTCAACAATAAAAGGTTAAATACACCCAAGAAAGGACAAGAAATAAATAAGCAGTACCAGAAAAGTTCATCAAAAAAGGTCAAAGAAAAAAACACTATTGCTACATAACCTGAAGAATTAAAGCATGCTGTTAAATAATAACTCTCAAGATTTATCTCAATCCCTGCTGTAACATACACAGATTAGTCCCCCAACCAATCCATCCAACTAGAAAAGACACTGGCCCATGTCTTTTCTTGGCACCCCAGATCTCTGGACTACTCTCTTGGCCCAGACTCCCCACTACCTCCTGATCATTTGCACCCAGAACAACCCAATTCCTCAGTCTAGTCCCCCAGAGCCCTCAAAGCCTGTTCCCTTCCCCACCTCACTTTTGCTTACCTGAGACCAGCCTTCATCCCTGGCTGGCCAATCCTCAACCTGGATTCCTGAGACCAGCCTCCTTCCCTTACTGCCTGAGAGACCTGAATCCTACATTTACCAAGCAATCCTCCCAAACTGTACTGTGCCTGCAGACAAGAGGGATCCAGACCTTAGGAGAAAGCCTGAAAGTATCTGATCTTTATCCAACTTAGGACTCTATTGGAACTCCTGAGCAGCAAGACAAAAGCCATCTGGCTCCTCCAATATAAAATCGAAGGAGAGAACCTCAAGCCTAGACCAACCAGCTTTTCATGCCCAACAAGTAAACCATAAAGGCAAATAAAATTTACAAACAAAAGCAGACCTAAACTCAACAAAGGAAGGCATGACTCTCACACGAGAATAAGAAATTACAAAAAATCCACACCAGACTCACAGCAAAAAAATTAATAATATGAAAAATTCAAATAATATATCCCAACCAAGTACCAACAGTCCTGTAGAGGAGTACAATGAGAGCTTCCTAGAGATAACAGAGGGCATGGAATTCAAAAGTACAATTATAAATATGATTTTTAAATGCAGTGAATTTAAAGAACACAAAAAAAGGAATCAAAGAACTGAAAGAAGGATAGACTTCTGAATGAATTCAGAAAAGAGTTAGAAGTATTGAAGAACACTCAGGCTGTAATGAAGAAGGAAGTGAAACACTCAGTAAGCCAATTAGAAATGACAGGAGAAAGCCTCACCAATAAGGATGAGTGAAATGGAAAACAGAATATCAAGACTGGAAGATAATGTGGACAAAATAGACCACTAAATCAAATATTATGAAATATCTAAGAAAATACAAGAATGGAATATGCAGGAATTGTGTGACACCATAAAAAGACCAAATTTACAAATTATTGGCGTAGAGGAAGGAGAAGAATCTCAGAATAATGGTATGGACCAGATCTTCAACAGGATTGTAGAAGAAAATGCCCCAAAATTAAAGAAAGACCTGCCCATACAAATATAAGAGCACCTAGAACACCAAATAAACAGAACCAGAAAAGAAACTCTCCGTGGAACATCAGAGCAAAAACACTAAACGTACAGAACAAAGAGACAATACTGAAAACTTCAAAAGAAAACCAAGTCACATATAAGGGAAAATCCATCAAAATTACAGCTGACTTTTCAGTGCAAACTAGGAAAGCCAGAAGAGCCTGGACCAAAGTGTTCCCTGTGCTAAATGACCACAGATGCCAATCCAGATTGCTTTACCTAGGCAAAATGTCTATTATAGTTGAAGGGGAAAGAAAAATCTTGCATGACATAAATAGGCTGAAAAAAATTCATGTCCACTAAACCAGGCCTTGAAAGAGTTCTTGAAGCAATACAAAGAGTTGAAAGAAAGGAACAACTATAGCCAAGGGGTAACAAAAAGAAACTTCATTATGGTTTATCTGTGGAAATGCACAGTTACACCAAGTATATGAACAGAAATCAAAACAACAGGAATCAGCAAACACCTTTCAATAATAACTTTAAATATCAATGGACCGAACTCCGTAGTCAAAAGACACAGACCTGGTAGGGGAAACACCATGATCAGAAAGGTGGTTTTCCCAGGGCAAGGCACATCCATTGCACTTTGGGATGTGCTGACCCCTGCATTTTCCCCCAATGCGAGAAACTCGACTGCACAATTTGTGGTAATGGGGGACTGTGTTTGTGCTTTCCCCTGTTAAAAAAGATAAAGAAAAAAAAAAGATACTGACCAGTTGAATGGATTAAGTAACAAAATCCATCTTTTTGTTGTTTGTAAGAAACCCATCTCACTTTCAAGGACAGGTACTACCTTAAGGTAAAAGGATGGAAAAAATATTCCAAGAAAATGCTACTAAGAAAAAACAGGATTTCCAATTCTAATATCTGACAGAATAGAATTCAAACTAAAAATAATCAAAAGAGATAAAGAGGGTCACTTCATTCTGATCAAAGGAACAATTGACCAGGAAGATATGACAATCATGAACACTTATTTACTAAATTATGGTACACCGAACTTCCTAAAAGCAGTATGACCCGGTCTTTAGACAAAAAAATTAATCACAACTCATTAATATTCAGGGACTTCAGTAGCCCATTGTCTCCATTAGATAGGTCATTAGGACAGAGAATTAACAGGGTGACATCTAAATTAAACAATAGCATACATCAAATGGACCTAACCTACTGAATATTCACCCAAAGAACCAAAGAATATACTTTCTATTCAGTGCCCCATGGAACTTAATCCAAAATCAAACCACATACTGGGGCACAAAACAAGCCTCATCAAATTAAAAAAAATTGAAATAATTCCACGCATTCTATCAGAGGATAATGTAATGAGGCTAAAAGTCAACAAAGGAAGAAAACAAGTAACTACATAAATACATGGAGATGAAAAAAACATACTACTGAATAATGAATGGGTCAAAGGAGAAATTAAGAAAGAAAAAAAAGTATTCCTGGAAATAAAGGAAATGGACAATACAACACAAAAAAACTTCCGGGACATGTTGAAAGCAATACTTAGAGGGAAATTTATAGTTTTAAATGCCTACATTAAAAACTCAGAAAGAACACAAATAAATAACTTAGTATTGCAACTCAAGTCACTTGAGAAGCAACAACAAATGAAACCCAAACAAACAGACAAGAAGAAATCAGAAATTAATGAAATAGAAACAAAGAAACAATACAAAGAATCAAAAAGCCCAACTTTCAAATTTCTTCTATGAAGTCAGCGTCATTCTAACACCAAATCCAGGTAAAGATACAACCTAAAAAGTAAACTAAAAACTAAAAGTGAAAGTAAACTAAAACTAAACTAAAGTTAAAAATTATGATATTACAGCTTGTGTGCACTTCCCGCTAGTGACACTGATAGGACACAGAGTTATACAGGAGATGAACTTAACTTGTCAAAATTGTCATTTGTATACTTTTCTTAATAACTCTATATCTTTTAATCAAACTTTTGAATCAGTCATGATTTTAACTCAATGAAATTTGTTATGGACTCCTGTGAAAATGCATCGTTCCTGGGAAAGCAGTCCTATTCAGGGACTGATTCTGAGATTTTTCAAAAGACTGTTATGGCAAGACAAACGTATGATTGGCTTGATTATCGCTACTGTTTTGGGACTCATCGCTTTAGCTGCTATGGCTACTACCGCTGGTGTGGCGCTTCAGAAATCTGTTCAAAAGCAAGACTTTATTGAACATTGGAAACTTTACAAAGCAGATTTCCTCGGGTCGGTAGTAAACTCGTGGAATTACAGAAAACTGTACAATGTGTCTGTGATTGGAATCCTACTCAGATTTGCATTACTCCTTATAAATTTAATGACTCTCTTTATGAGTGGCACACTTTGGAGATGTACATTCAAGGTAAAATGGATAATGTCACTTTTAATGAGATGCAATTGCAGGAAGAAATATATGAGGCATTTTCAGAAGAAATACCTTCTGCTAGTTCTATTCATCAGATAGCTACTACTTCAGCAAATACTCTTTCTGCTCTCCATCCTCGTGGCTGGATTCAGAGTATAATACATAGTTCTGGATTCACTTTAATGACCTTGATAATTGTTCTTTGCATATTGTTTACAGGAGGTGGATGTGCCTTCCAATGCTTGAACCAAGATGCTTGGAAAAGAAGTGCTGAGGTTTTCTTGTCTTCCCTTCATTTTCAAAAGGAAAATCTAGATAAAAATAATAAATAAAGGGGAATTGTCAAGGCCTGATCAATTCATGACCTGAAGCTTGGCAGAGGATACCAGATATTAGTTAAAATTCTTGTGGCAAATCAAGGCTATTGTGCATGATATGAGCTTATGCTCCCTCCCCTAGTGGAGGCCCGTAGTCAAAGATGGGTAAGATCTTCTGGGAAAAGTCAACCTAAGACAGGCCATAGCTGATAGAAGCTGTGTACTGATGACGGGTAAGGCTTTGAGGACAACCTGAGATAGGCACGGTCTTTCCATTCTGGACATGGCATTACCTGAGGTTATATAAAATGAAAAAGGGGAAATATTGGGAGCTATTATGGGTACAGCTTGACTTTAGAATTGGAGGAAGAATGCTTCCACCCTGGGACTTTCCCTGCTGTTTGCTTCTGTGGTCTGAGTTGACAGGCTGTGCTTCCCTGATTAATTAGCAGTCTTGGAAACATAACTAAGGAGTTCTGTTGCAGTTTTTGGGCACCGGAGTTTCTCAGCACTGTCAGCTTGGTTTCTAGGTAGAAATAATAGATTTTAGTAGTTGCTAAGAGTAATCACAAACAGTACACTTTATATATAGGATATTATAAATATTATGTAGCTGAATCTTGGATACTGTAAACATTGTGTGAGTTTCAGTTGGTTAAGTAATGTAGTCTTGGTGGTAACATAATGTATCCTTGGTTATACCTTGGTTACTTTCTGTTTAGTGCTGTATCCTTGGTCATTCCTTGGTTACTCCAGATCTGCTTTCTATATAAGCTTGCTTAAGTTCACAATAAACATGCACTGGTACACAAGCCTCTGCAGCTCCTGCATTCTGATTTCTATCCATCGGGGTCCCCAAGCCTTTCAGGCTTGGACTGTGGTCACTGCACCGTGACAATCATAGATGCAAAAATTCTCAACAGCATACTTGCAAACTGCTTACAGAAACAAATCAAAAAGATTAACCACCATGATCAACTCTTCTTTATTCCAGAGATGCAGGGATGGTTAAATATATGTAAGTAAATAAACATCATAAATCATATAAGTGAACTCAAAGACAAGAACCACATGGTCATCTCACAAGATGCAGAAAAGGCCTTTGTCAAAATTCAACATGTATTAATGTCCAAATTCCTAGAGGGAACTGGACTGGAGGTAGCATACCTCAACATAATTAAAGCAACATACAACAAACCCACAGCCAACATCATTCTAAATGGAGAAAAAATGGAAGCAGTCCCATTACAATCAGGAACCAGGCAAGGCTGCACACCATCACCACCCCTTTTTGCTTGAATCTATTGCCAGATCAGTAAGACAAGAGAAGGAAATTAAAGGAGTAATAATTGGAAAAGATAAAATTGTCACTTTTTGCAGATGGTGTGATAATATATCTAAGAGATGCCAAAAATTTCACCAGAAAACCCCTAGAAATAATTAAAATTTTTGGTAAAGTCCCGTGGCAGGTTACAAAATTAATCTACAAAAGTCTATAGCTTTTCTATATACCAATAACAAGGAATCAGAGAAACAGCACATGGAAACATTCCCTCTCAAAATAGCCTCAAAAAATTATCTCAGAATAAACCTGACCAAAGATATTAAAGACCTCTACAATGAAAATTTTAAAACTTTAAAGAAAGAGATTACGAAAGGCATCAGAAGATGGAAGGACGTCCCATGCTCATGGATTAGAATAATTAATATTGTGAAAATGTCCATCCTACCAAAAGCCTTTTATAGATTCATTGCAATGCCAAACAAAATTCCTATGACATTCTTCACAGAATTGGAAAAAAATCATGCTAAGAGTCATATGGAAGCACAAAAGACCTTGGATAGACAAAGCAACCATGAAAATTAAGAGCAATGTTGGTGGGATTAGTATATCAGATTTTAAACTACATTACAGAGCTATAGTAATATGTACATAGCCAGTATAGCTGTGGTACTGTCACAAAAATAGATCATACATCAATGGAACAAAATTGAAGGCCAAAATATGAGTAAATGCAATTTCAGCTACCTAATTTTCGACAAAGGGGCCGAGAACATTCACTGGAAGAAAGAGAGCATGTTCCATAGATGGTGCTGGCAAAACTGGATCTCCACCTATAGAAGAAAGAAACTGAACCCCTATCTTTCACCTTGCATAAAAGTCAACTCCAAATAGATCAAAGACCTCAATGTTAAGCCTGAAACTCTGGAACTGTTAGAAGAAAAAATTGACAATAACCTACAAGATATAACTGTAGGAAAGGATTTTCTAAACCAGACATTAATTGTTCAGGAAATAAGGTCAAGAATCAACATATGGGACCTCGTTAAACTAAAAAGCTTCTATACATCAAAAGAAGCAACCAAGAAGGTGAAGAGAAAACCTGCAGAGTGGGAGAAATCCTTCAGCAGTGACACATCTGAGAGAGGTTTAACATCCAGAATTCATAAAGAACTCAAAAAACAAACAACCAAGAAAAGAAGTAAGCCAATTAAAAGATGGGCTAAGGAGCTGAACAGAGTTCTCAAAAGAAGAAGTGATGATGGCTAAGAAGCATCTTTAAGGTGCTCAACATCATTAGTAGTTAGGGAAGTGCAAATTAAAACCACTTTGATATTTCACCTTCCCCTAGTCAGACTGGCTAAGAGCAAGAGAACAAATGATACCAAATGTTGGAGAGGATGCAGGGAAAGGGGAATGCTCATCCACTGCTTGTGGCATTGCAAACTTGTTCAACCCCTATGGAAAGTAGTGAGGAGAACCCTTGAAAATTAAAAATGAACCTACAATTTGACCCAGTTATAGCATTCCTTTGCATAAACCCAAAGAACTCATCCTATTGCAGAGACACTTGTGCATCCATGTTTGTTGCTTCTCTTTTCACAATAGCTAAGAGCTGGAAACAAAATATGTGCCTCTCAACTAAAAAGTAGATAAAGAAAATGTAGTACATTTATATGATCGAGTTCTACTCATCAGTGAAAA